TCAGCCCACCAGGTTGCAACAGCTGAACAATATCTAGAGGAGATCCATGACTGACCTTCTCATGCACTTTTCTCACAGGTTTTTATTACTGATCGGAATTGTGTTGTTCTCACGCTCTCTCTTTGAATATTCTGAGTATACTTCTGCGCAAGTCTTTCTTCACGGCTGACTCCCTTTTATAGGGTGTTCATAACCCTAGTGGAGATGATACGAAACTCTTTAGGTGATAAGCTTGAACACCAGACACTCCTAGCAAGTCAGGACTTCTTCCGCAGATTTGCATTTGTTTCACGTGTCCAAGAATTAACCAAGTCTTGAAGAAGTTCCTCGTAGCCAATCTTGAAGGATGTGTTTCTCTTGACCCTGGACACTTCACGAGACCTTCTTTATATAGAGTCCATATAGTATAGAAACTCTACACCAAGACTGATAGGATGCTACAGCCCTTATATTAACACAGACACACTACCAGTTCTACAGAAGGGTTTTGTCAAAAAATAATGCCAACATAAACTATATATCAATGTTCACTAGTTGGAGCTAACAAATTTCAGCTTCAATGTCAACTTCAGTTTCAGGTTTAGAACTGATATTTTCCACTTCATTAGAAAATTTTTGAATTTGACACTGATTTTGAAGATGACCTTGAATGTTATTTGTGACAGTTTCAAAAGCACTTCATCTGTCTTCAAGTTCATCAGAGAAATATTAGAAATCTGATTCTTTTTATTGTTTAAATAAGTCTCATCATCTTGAAAACATATTCCCAATCAAACTCTGATTGCTTCTCAAAATCTAGTCCATTACCTTCCGTTTGATTTGGAAGGTCTGTTTCAACCATTTGAAACAATTCATTTAATTTTAATTCATAAAATCCTTCTCTGTTTTTATCTTGTGTTTTAAAATATTCAGAAGTCTTAGTATTAAGAGCTAAAGGAGTCTGGTTCAATTTCGAAGAGTGAGCATACCATTTGAAACACTTCATTTAATTTTAATTCATAAACTCTTTCTCTCTTTTTTATCTTGTGTTTCAAAAAAAAAAATAGTATTAAGAGTTAAAGGAGTTACTTGGCCATTTTGTTTGCAAAATACTGGACTTACTGTGGGCCCATACATTGATTTATATGAACAGGGCATGCCTAAGTTAGTTGGGAATTGAGTAGCTAACAGTTTATGGACTGTGATTACTATCCCTCAGTCAAAGGGTAGTAAGATAGTTTTCTGCTCTATTAAACTGTTTAGTAACACTCTTAGTCCGTACCTGCAACCCTGATAAGGAAATTCGGCTCAGTACGCGTTCAGCTACTTCCTCTGCAGAGTTTCCCCAAAGCACGCAAATGAGCCTCCAGCCTTTCAAGCATTTCATGTGTTATATCTAGCACATCCTTACGTGTCAATGATTTCCTGCAAGCAACAAGGACCGCCTGAGCAGAAATATTAATCATAATATTTTACGTCCATCAGGTGTTGTGCTAATATGTCATAATGAGGATATGTGACTATGCAAATTTTGGACCACTACATCCCTTGAAAATGTGCCTGCCCGTCAATATGAGCCAAAAACATGTTTTAAAATGATACTATGAATATTTTATGACATAATACAGTGCAATGTCCCTTTGACCGCATTCTTTCCTCAAACAAAATGACACTATTAATATTTTATGACGACTGTTCTAGTGTTTTATAATGGGGGCAATTATCTTTGGAAACTAATGAGGTCAAAGGGCCATTGCACTATATAATGTATTATGTATACTTAAAGGGTTTTGCAAATGATAGTCAGGAACATTTGTTACCCAAACGTGATGGCCTATGAATATCTATTTCTAACATTCACACACTTGAAATATTATCAATAGTGTATACATATTTTTCAAAACCTTTTCTCTTCCCTAGTAAATTTAGTCTCAATCAATAACTTTTTGAGTAATAAACACTCCACATTGACATTAGTAGAACACAAAAACCCATTAGCATTAGAGGCTGAAAAATTACCTGAATTTGCAAGATGACTCCACCTGCAATCTCTTTCAGATTGTTCTCTCCCAAAGTTGTTCCACTGCTCACAAGGTCTACAATTGCATCGACTATCCCCATCTATATTAGGAAGAAATGAGGAAATGATAACAGCAACAACAACCTACCCAGTGTTGTCCCATACATTAGGGAACCATGATAGGTTNCTGAAAAATTACCTGAATTTGCAAGATGACTCCACCTGCAATCTCTTTCAGATTGTTCTCTCCCAAAGTTGTTCCACTGCTCACAAGGTCTACAATTGCATCGACTATCCCCATCTATATTAGGAAGAAATGAGGAAATGATAACAGCAACAACAACCTACCCAGTGTTGTCCCATACATTAGGGAACCATGATAGGTTTAAAAAACTTTTACATACTCAAAAGAAATTGAAAGTGCGATTGTATTTGAAGATCACCAAAAGAAATGCTGGAAAAGAACAAATGTGATAAAATTTCAAAGAGCAAACCATAACATCTAAAATAGAACGACATATTTCTTTTATGCAACAAATATAGGAAAAACAAACAAGGCTCTCAAGCGAGTCTTAACATCAAGAGCAGTAATCGATTTGTGAAAAAGAGAAGAAGTATTTCATTTATATACGTAGTACAATACAAACAGTCAACCTTAATGAGACTGGACTTAAGAAAACTAACAGTCCATCTCAATAAGACGGGGCTTGAGAAAACTGAATCTGTTTAAAATAGGTAAATTTGGTCTTACCGCTGGAGTAGCCTTCAGTGCTCCATCTGGAGTTGAAAAGGTAACATGATTTAGTCCTTTTTCATTCATAAACTTGGGCCCCATCTGTGAAAGAAATGAAGGATGTTAAGGGAAAAATATCATCAAACTTAAGCATAATAATTGTGACCACAAAAATATATACTCTGTATGTGGGAAAAAGAAGGTGAATATGTCACATTGCAGTACACCATGCATATGTGAAACCCGTAGCTACTCTCAAGGGTCTCTCAGGTGTCCAATGTGGCATTTCTGCTAGATCCTTGAGTGAGTTCACATTCTCAAATATTCCATACTTTGGTATCTATAGATACGCACATGTATTTCCAGTCGCACGTCATTATTATTGGAAGAATAGTAATGGTGATAGGAATGCACATAACAAGAAAGTTGGTGCCATAAAGATATCAAACATTCAAAATACTCTATAGAAGCAAAATTTCATAGAGATGATGATGAACACTTAGTGCATGACTTCTCCCCTAACCATAAACCAAACAATAGGACAATGATATAATTTGATAACAGTTCTAATAATGAACTGTAAATTATTTCACAATTCTAGCTACCAAATGATCTACTCCAGGCCACCATCATAAGGAATGATATTTTATACGAAGTATATATAAATTGGCACAGCATGATATTGTTCAAAACTATAATGATAACTTTATGTTGAAATAGGGTACATGTAGCAACTAACATTTCCAGTAAGAAGATCGAAATCCCAAACAGGTTATGTAAGAACAAGACAGAGCATTTAAATGTCCTATTTAGATTAAATCTTTGTAGCTTATGAAAAGAAAAATAGTTAATTTACCATGAGTAAGGATTTCAATTATGCAGGCAATAAACATAAAAGAGGTAGAAAATATAGAACGTGGATGGCGTTAAAGATGGGTGCTCTATGAAACCATCCCTGTTAGGTTGTTTCAGCTGTGCAAATAATTAGTTGCCATCATCAATTCCAATGTGAGTTCGGGCTCTATAGGAAACTCGGTCTCCTTCCCCCTTGTGAATTGAAAGTGCTAATAGATGTACTGGCATATCTTCTCGAGGATGGTGGTACTAATATCAAGAAAAGTCACTTCTCTGTGATCTATCTCGGTGAAACCCCCAAGAGAAGTAAGCATGTTATGGATGGTCTGAGAAACCATAGCCGCCTCCTTATCGATCACGAATTCGAAACCCTCGGCGCTGATTAGCTCCACTGTATCTTCTTTCTTCATCTCCGATAGGTGCAGAAAAAATTAGGGTTGGGCTACGGGGCTTGGGGTGACACGCAAGTATTTTGTTTGTGTGACCTAATGAAGATTAAAGCTGCAAGTAGAAGTGAAATCAGAGGCACAATAATAATGCAATTTAAGACAAGTTCAGAAGTTACCAATAGTGTTTTACCCCCAACACAAACCATTTCAGCAGAACACTGCTTGCTTGCTTGCTGGCTCTACCGACCATATCTATGAAGATCTAACTACTGGGAGGAGAACTTCTTACGCGTGATTCTGATGGGGGTGCCTTTTGAATTAGTCACCGAGTCTCCCACCCAGAGGCCCCCCTATTTCTGCCCTCCGGGAAGTCGTGGTGCGAGTGACTGTGGATAGATGATGTCGCGGTGGCGATGCTTTCCCTCCCTCTGCAGGAGTGGACTTGCCTTTCTCTTAGGGTTAGCAGACTTGGGTGAATGGTGGGCCCCCTTGTGAGCGACGGTATCCCCATAAGGATCCAATTCCCCTTCTTCCAAATTATCGTTCTCCTTTTGCAAGGGCTGCACCGCCCCTTTTGTCATCATTCTTTGGTCGTGCTCTAGCCCGCTTGATGACTTGGACCAACTCTGTCTTCTCTCCCACTTGCTCTTCTCAGCATCTATTACTATTCCGTCCTCCAATTCTCTCTCGATGAGGTCACCGTCGTCCAAAACATCGGCCTTCCTAGTTGTGCCCCCACGGGATTTCCTGCTCCTCTCAAGTGCTGCTTTCACCTTGCCTTTGTCAATATTCTTGATGAAGACCTCCTGCAATGAGCCCAACCGCCGCCCCATCCATGTGGTTGTGTTCCAGGGCCCCACCGCCATCCAGCTTCTCCTTCATTTGTTTTGTCTTCTCTTCACCACTTTCATCGTTCTGCTTATCACTAGCCTCACCAGCATTGCTGGATGGGTATGTTATGTTTTTTTCAGAACTTGCATGGTCATTGTCACAGTTTTGACCAGCCCTACCATGATTATTAGGAAGCGAATGATAGGAGATTGGCTTTTGTGAGGAGGCTTTGGAGGTCCCGGTCTTTGATGATGTAGCAGTGCCCCTGTGAGAGCTATTCCTGTTTGGGTTAGGGTCTTCATTTGCACCGGACGGATTTGTTGGTCTCTGAGTACCCACAACATCAGCACACTCTTCTGCTTCACTGGCAAGAGACTTCTGTTCATATAGTTCAAGCATTTGGTTGCTTACCTCTGCAAGAATGTTTAAAAAGAGCATTAACGCAAATGTCCTATTTTATCTTTTTTGTTTAATTTAAAAATAAAAAAACAATTTCTCCTTGCAAAAAAATAAAGAACATCAACAGTAATAGACCCAGTAAAATCCCAAAAAGTGGGGTCTGAGGCAGGTGTATGCCCACAACCCTTATCCCTACCTGAAAGCAAAGAGGTTGTTTCCAAGAGACCACCAGCTTAAAACACAAGAATACAACGGCAAAGAAAAATAGCACTGACAAAGAATATAAACAAAAACAAGCACAAATGCAGGAACTACAAACAAAAGCACTACAACACACGTGCAGGAACTACAAACTAAGACGGAAAAGTCTCCTCTATCACCCTAATCCAAGATCTAGATACTCCTATCTAATCGTCTTCTTTCAACTCTTCTTAGGTTTACTTCTATCCATCCCCACACCTTCTACCTCGAGGCTCTCTAACCTCCTCAATGGGGCATTCGCCATCTCAATTTTCCCGTCATTTATTTCACACTCCAACTCTCCCTGGAACCTCACTTTAGATCTTATCAATTTCTGTATAACCATACATCCATCCTACATCAGCATCATCGTCTATGCCACTCATAACTTAGGAACATGAGTATACATCACCACCCAACAAAAGAACCACAAAACTATAAATACAAAGAAGTGCATGTGTGTGCATAATAATACTTAAACAAATCCTAGAGGCTAGAGCGTGTCTAAAGAAAACTTTGCAAATGAGAGCCATAAATATAGTAAATAAGAGTCAGTTAACTCAATACCACAAGTATATCTATAAGATTGAATGTAGATCTAAAGCAAAACACCATCCCACCCTCCAATTGACGTGGGGTGACATCAAACTCCTGCCACCAAACCTTCTCATCGTCATGTGGAAGCTTAACTGAGAAACTTGGCGGCAAGAAAAATGGCACCTGCTGCAATGTGATGGGGCTTAAATTGCAAGCATAAAGATGTCCGAAGCCTGCACGTGGCTTTCCCAGGTCATCAAAGGAGAAAAAGAAGGATCCCACTGGATCGTCTCCATACACAACAAAACCACAATAAAGCAATCCTACCCATTGTTAACAAAATTCCAAGCAACTTGAACAAGTGTATTTTGTGCAGCCTTGAATTTTTGAAGTGCCACAACAAGGGGTTTATATGGATGATGCACATTAAGCTCAAATCCAAGTGTTGCGAGAACTACCCTCTCTCCAATCAAAATCAGTTCTTTTTGTTGTTCATAGACTTCCTGGAATGGAATGTCAAAATATATATATTATAAAGTTGAGATATGAAAATATCATAGCCAACCACCCAAGTAATTTTCACCATAGAACAATGACCGACGAAGAAGATAAAAATCGGAAAATGATAGTGATAGTGTACCACAATAGTATACACATTGATACAGTAAGTGATATTATCTTATGCCAATACCCTTTGCTTAATCCTTTGTATTGCTTTCGGATCCTTCTTATAAATAATTTCGTACGAGACAGCTATAACATCCTTTAAGGCTCGAGGTGTTTCTTCAACTTTTCCGGCAAGGAACATACATACAATTGCAATAATCTGCAAATTATGTAAATGAGTTAGACACTCAGGTTTCCTCCCTGTCATACGGTTACAGCTGATTAGCAGTTTCGCAAATAAGGCAGTCAAATAAAATTTCATCATGAATAATTTTAGAGACACTACGGAATGCAGAACAAGAATTCCACAAAACTACCACTATGTCTGGTTCGAGGAATTTGAAAGGGAAAAACAAAAGGAAATGAGAGGGAAAACAACTTTTCTTGTTTGATTGGAGAGGAAAAGAAAAGAAAAGTAGAAGAAAAAGAATATAAAAGAAGAAACGAATTAAAAGAGGGAAAACAGGTTTCCTTCTATTTTGGTGAAGAAAAGGAGAGAAATCTACCTTATTTTCTTCTCTTTTGAATTCAACAAACCAAACATAGGGTAAATGCTTGTCTGGAAGATACATCTAGGTCACCAAGAAAATAATATCAATGATAACCAGAAAAATAAAATGTTAGTTTCCATTTCTTGCTCATTTGAAGGATGGAAATTGGTTGGGATACCTACAAAGACCACTACACTGTACTAAATCCTACTCAGTATTATACTACCTCCATCCCTATTTAATAGAAGTGAAACTGTGTGGTTGATTTTTGCAAATGAGCTAGAAATAACATGAACCACACACTTCTTTAATAGGAAAGTGGAAGATGAAAAGGGATAATGAGTATTTACATTATGGTTTAAGATGTTTGATTAAAATTATTTTTTATTTTCTTTATTTAATAAATGAAAAAAATTAAAAAAGAGAGGTGACATGACTATTATTCTATCAAATGATATATGAAAATATGTAAAGAAAAACGAAATAGTTTAACCACATGAATAGTAACTCTAAAGAACTCATAGACAAGGAGTATGTTGAAATGGAAATAAGCCGGTAGTTCTTAATAATTCACACGACGAATATGCATGCACTATCAATTATCAACCGTGAAAGGAAAAGACAATAACTACAATCTTAATTCATCATAATCTCACAATAATTTCCATGCAAGTGAAATTGACATACAATGATAAATGATAATGGTTTTTGAATCTCATCTCATTACAGCTGAAGAAATTGTGACTAGAATGTCTACAACATCGCCACATATTTCTTCCCTTAAAAGGGACCAATTCTTTAGGACCAGCATAATGGAAGAATGACTAAGGTTTGGGGGAAGAAGATACTATAATAATACTTCTACATGTTCAATTCTATCAATTAGATTTACATAATCATATATATATATATATATATATATATATATATATATATATATATATATATATATATATCAAAATTTTTATTGATAAAGAGGTAGGGAAGGGAAAGATACAAAAGATAGCAAACGTTCGGGGGGGGGGGGACTAGACCGATACCCCGAAGGAGAGGGAGCAACCCGATAAAAGAAACAACAAAATTCTAAGTGATAACAACGGTTATATCAAACAAACAACAGTTATATCAAACAGACAGTGTGCTGAAGCCAAGTTGCGCTTCAACACCCTCTTCCTTGTACTGTCCAAGCACCCAGGTCCAGACCGCTATCAATCTCCCACATAGTCGTTTGCGGAGAAGGTTTTAATTCTGTGGCCATTCAGCGCAAAGTATTGAAGACCCTCCTCCGTAAGAGTATCATCTTTATGCATCCACCATTTTTTCCTAAATTTCCAACACGAAAAGGAGATGTTGTGTTTGATATTATGTGTGATGCTAGATAAGGAATCCTTAGTGTTTCCGAAGACCGTAGAGGCGTAAAGTTTCCATATAGACCATGCGATAATCCCTGGGCAATGAGCCGTAGGTTCCCTTTGATTGATTTGTTGTTATGCCTCAAATTCCACGCCAGAATATGTTGTTTAAGAGTGCTACCTGGAGTAGGGTTAGGACCATCCAAAAGGAGAGCCATTCTCTCCCAGATGGGCATGATCAGTGGACAATGGAGAAGACTGTGATCTATGTTACCATCATCTTTAAGGCAGAATATACACTGGGAAGGGAGAGAGGTGTAGATATGAGTGTAATTCTCCGGGAAAGGTAGGAGATTGTAGTTAAGCTTCCAGAGAAAGAGCTGAATTTTGGGAATCTGCAGGTTATCCCAATTGTATTTATCACTGATAGGATAGTTTGAATGGGTTCTGCTGTGATTGAAAGCTTGTTTGAGAGAAATAGGCACCACTTCAATTTGACCATCTTCATCTTCCTCAGGTAGTATGTCCCCCATAAGATCTTCAGCTGAGGAATTGATTCTGCAAATCCTCTTTCTAATGGTAGAGTCAGTAAGCTTTTCCTTAAAATTAGAGGTGTTGTACTTACCTCTCATGAATTGAGACCAGTTACTATCATCAAATTTAAAATTCCACCAAAGCTTGATTGAATAAGCCTCTTGTAGTTCTCCAAGATCCCTGATTCCCAGCCCTCCCTCTTCTTTAGGAAGGCAAATTTTGTTCCAAGAGCACCAGTGATATTTCCTTGTGTTTTGGTTGTGTCCCCAGAAGAAATTAGCCATCATGGATGTTAGAATAATAGACCAATGCTAGAGGGGGGGTGAATAGCGTTTGATCAAGAAATCGCAGGAATAAAAATGAATAAGTGAGAAGTAAAGAGAAAAGAAAGAGGCACACCGATTTTACCCTGGTTCACCACAACTTGTGGCTAATCCAGCCTCCCGAGAGACTCTCTCGAGCTACACTACTATCTCGTTAAGCTTAACGGTGCTTAACAAACCCGTACAACTTGAGAGTTCGAGTCACACGAACCTCAACGAACCTTCGAAGGAAACAACCCTTCCTTCGAACAACAAGAGAAATACCTTCTCTTGTCAAGTGTCTAAGAACACTAAAAATACTCAAGAACAATACTCTCTTTTTAGAGTGGATATTGAGTAAACTAAGAACGCTCAAGAACACGACACAAGCTTCACAAAAATGGCTCTCAAAAGCTATGAATAATTAAAGAATGATTTGCAATGAAAGAGTAGGAGTTGTGAAGTAATGTGATATGTAAAACAGACCCAAACACCTCATTTTATAGTAGAAAAATAGGCTCCAACGGACCAAAGTATTTAAGGGGTGATTGGCATAATTTGTGGGATTTGATGAAATTTGGATCTGTTGAAAATCAACCAGACAGCGCTATCCTAGGCCTGGACATCGC